TTTAAAAATTTCCATCTTAGTCAATGTATTATCTCGGTATTTTTTACTCTTGGTTCTCCTCACCAGTAGACTCAGATTTGAGAATGAAAAAGGAAAGCATCAGCATGATTTTAATATAGGGTAATTCAACATATCTCATATAGGCTTGATTTATTTCAGGCCCTTTCCATTCAACAGTGTTTTTGCTTAAAATTAACATTGCGGTTTGGTAACTACATTACTAGAAAGGACTTGAAAAATGGTTTAAATGTCAATTCAACAGTCAAAATATCTTAGCAGCTGGTGTTGCAGAATTAAACAATAGACGAGAGAAAGAACCAAAGATGCTTCTGGGGGTCTGCAGCAGTTGGAGTTTAAGGGCAGACCTCGTAAGCTTTTCAGTTCCTCTTAACACAAGCAAAATGCAGCTGGATAATTTCTACCTCTGAGCAGACTTACTGAATTTATTCTACTGAGGAGATGAAGAAGGGAAGGCTCCTGTGTCAACTCAGCATCCTCAAAACCTGGAGCTCCGATACCTCCAGGAGGATGGGGGCGTTGGGGGACAGACCAGGAATAAGCATGAGACACGGGTTACACAGTGGTAGGAAGCATAGGAAAAGCAAAGGAGGGAGTAGGAGAGAACAAGGAAAAACCAGCATGATAAAGAAGAGAAAGAGAGGAACCAATTGAGTATAGTGAGAAGTTTCTCTTACAACCTGGGGCTTCCTGAAGTCTGAGGAAGGGAACACGGGCACGCTCTTCCTCTGGCTCATTTCGGAACTTTCTCCCCCTGAGGCCTGAATCAGAGCCAATATGGCAATTGCCTGATGCTCCTTATACAGGCTTTTTTTTTTTTTTTCCCCAAATAATTAATTTTTTATTTGAGGATAATTGACACACAATATTACATTAGTTTCAGGTGTACAACATCGTGACCCAACTTCTCTATACAATATGCTGTGCTCACCACAAGTCTAGCTGCCGTCTGTCACCATACCATGCTATTACAATATCTGACTATATTCCCTATGCTGTGCCCTTTATTCCCATGATTTATGTGGGGTTTTTTTACCTTTTTAAAAATTTAAATTCAATTAATTAACATATATTATTTATTTCAGGGTACAGGTCTGTGACTCATCAGTCTTATATAATACCATCAGAGCTCATTACAATACATACCCTCCCCAATGTCCATCACCTGGTTACCCCAGCCCTCCACCCCCGCCTCCCCCCCCCCCCCCCCAGCAACCCTTAGTTTGTTTCCTATGATCAAGAGTCGCTTATGGTTTGTCTCCCTTTCTGGTTTCATTTTGTTTCATTTTTCCCTCTCTTGCCCTATGATCCTCTGCCTTGTTTCTTTTTTTAAAAAAATTTTATTTTATTTTTATTATGCTATACAGGCTTTTAATCAATCTTTGTCAAAGGTGTTGTTAAACAGGACACCATGAATCAGTTTTCATGTTGTGGTACCTATTGAGTTCCTATAAATGCAGAAAGCTTCTGATGTAGGGCGGGGTCCACTTACTGCCGCTTTTGTCTCAGCAAAGGACAGAATGTGGAATCCCTAATTGTTCCATGTCCGTGTCCAGTCAGATCAATGTTTATTAGGCCCTGGCTAGGTGTCAGCACTGACAAGACACCCGGGGCGTAAAGATCAGTAAGATACCATCTTTATCTACTGAGAGTGAGAGGAATACAAGGGAAGAGTTTCAAGGCCATGTGATTTATAGAGTTATATGGGTCTGGAGATTAAAAACACGTGGGTAGGGTTTGGGCCACTCCAATTATGCAGCTGCTGGACCTTTAAACGTATCAAAAGAAATTGCAAGTAGTTGAGAGATAGGAGGAGTTGAAAATATAAGACTTTTTGTTGTTGTTGTTGTTATTTGAGGAAGGTTGAGCCTTATCCCATGGATATTGGGGATTGTTGGAAGACTTCCAGCAGGAGAGTCACATGATCTATTCAGTGATAATAGTTCACTCTCATATGCAGGAGGAAGGAGATTTGGGGAGATACCAGGCTAGAAGTGGGGAGATCAGCTAGTAGAGTGCCTATGCATCCCAGCTTTCCTGGAACAGTTCAGATTTGTGGGGTTTTTCTTTTAGCATAATTATTAATAATATCTCTTTCACTATGTCTCCCAGTTTGGATGATAAATTCTGTGGCTGCCCTACTAACTAGAGATTTATTGCAGGGGTCTAGGTAAGACTCCATGATGCCCGGAGTTCATCAGGGCTTAGCTAAGTGGATGAAAAGGAATTGTTGCCCAATGCTATCAGCAAGAACAGGCCCTCTGACACCCTTATAGTCTCTTAAATCCACCCCCCCAACTCAGGCCTGAGCACAGATAAAAGATCTCAGTGAAAATTTAGTATATTAACTGAATGCTAAATATTACAAATATGTAATAACTGACCAGTTAACCACTCAACCAGCTTACTGTTTGTCAGCTCAGATTGTACTTGCCTGAGATAACTTGAAAAGAAATGAGAAGGAAAGTCGTAAGCAAGTGGTGTGGAAAGTAAGAAAGATAAGCCTTAGTCATGCGTGGGCATGAGGCCCTGCTCCAGTTCCTGAAATGGAACTGAATTCTCATGGAAGGTTTTGATACTTGCTGGAGGACGGCAGAAAGGGCTGTGAAATCTTGCTAAAGTTTCATCATTCTGGGTCCTTGTAACCTTGGAAGATGGTAAGTATAGAGGCAATTTAGTCAACTGAAAGAAACAATTGTTCATTTCCTAGTGCATGTATTTAATCATGAGCTGTCACTCGGGCCTCCTGTTAGAATCCAGAAAAGGTTACATGGTGGCAATAATTGGGGAATATTTTTAAAAAGAACGAAGTAACTAGACCCAAGAGAAAAGAGATGTTGCTGTCAGGAACACACTTTAGCAGGAAAAAAAAAAAAAAAAAAGATTAAGAGTAAATGAAAAGGTGAAGAGCTGTCATTTCCTTTATTTTACTTTTAAACATTTCAACTTCCCCTTCCTCATTTTGTACATACGAGGCAGGCTTTTCCTCCACCCTAATCTCACTATTACCTTGCATTTATATAGAGCTTATCTCCCAGAAGCTCACAGGGCTACCTCTGAATCCATGCCACTTTGGAAAGTATTGCTTAACAAAAAAGGAGGCGCTCTTATTTAATCCATCCTATCACTAAATGTTCTAGTGGGAGCTGGGAGCCGGATTTGCCGTAGGCTGGTGATTATGTGCTGGACTGAACAAATGCATGTCGAGCTGCACAGCGGCCTAGGCAACAGCAAACATGGCATGACTTTCCAACTTGGTGCCAGGCCTGCCACCATCCCTTTGCTTTCAACTGTGACTCAGGGAGATGTTTCTAATCTGCAAAGAATTATCCAGGTTGCTGACTTACCTTCATGGCTACTGACGTCCCTGAACTATTGTTGTTGATTACCTCTCTATTTGGGAGCTCTATTTGCCACAGGCAAGACAATTTACTTAAATTTTAAATCTTGGACTTCCTTTCCCGTTTACACTTTCCAGACTGTCGTTTGCAGAATTTCATTTAATCAGATTTACTTCCTCTGGTTCTTGCTTCAGAGAAATGGAATTGAATGAGAAAAAAAAAAAAAAATTCCTCTGAAGTGGAAGGGGACGGGTTTGGAGATGGAAATATTTTAGTAGTTCCTTCAGAAATTTTTGTTGCAGCTTTGTTATTTAAAAAAATAAAAATGCATGTTTCCAAGGCCCCCATAATTCAATGAAATCAAATGCAGATAATTGCTTTGAATTCACTGAAAGTTGGTCTCTTCACATTTTTCATTTAGTTTGAAAACTGATTTTTAGAAAAATGAAGTAGATTAGAAGTATTGCCTGGCCTCTGTATAATTCTCGAGCCGACAGTATTCTTACTGGGCTCTCTTGGAAGTCTCTCAACCAGCCGTGACTATTTCTCTGCCTCCTCGTCTTCCTTTTCCTGCTTCTTTCCTCCTCTTCCTTTTAGAGGTTAGATAAACACTTTGCTCATTCACTCTTGTGAAAATACTTCAGAATATAAATGAGGAGGCCAGGCAGAGGACATTTCTTTTCATCTCTGGCATATCAATTCATTGTTTATTTTATTTTATTTTATTTTTATTTTTTTAAAGATTTATTTATTTATTTATTTATTTGAGAGAGCGAGAATGAGAGAGAGTACATGAGAGGGGGGAGGGTCAGAGGGAGAAGCAGACTCCCTGCTGAGCAGGGAGCCCGACGCGGGACTAGATCCCTGGATTCCAGGATCATGACCTGAGCCGAAGGCAGTCGCTTAACCAACTGAGCCACCCAGGGACCCCTCAATTCATTGTTTATTTTATAAATGAATGTGTGAACACCATAGAACAGGGTTTTTGTTGTTGCTCTTGTTGTTGAGTTTACTGTTTGATATGAGAAATAATATTAATAATGTTGGTTCTTCATTGAATAAATGCTTCCTGTAAAGATGGATAGTCCTAGGCATGTAACACACATCTCTAATCCTCAGAGTGACCCTAGAAGGAATCAATCAAACATGTGCCATCCCCCTCTCACATAGAAGAAGATCAGGGAAGGATACATTGTCAGTGCTCAAGTGTAAAGATAAAGCACTCAATTGCAAAAAACGGTTGCTAAATCACAAAATCAATCAAATTAGAACAAAATTATGTCACCAATATTTAATTAATTTGATTTGAATCTTTATCTGAGAACCAGCTGAAAGAACTAAGAGCGGTTTCCTCTTAGTGTCACTGATACTATGTAAAATATCACACACAGGTAAAATAAAAAGAGACAAACTTTGTCCAGATTCCTGGCATTTATATTAAAAATACAAAGCCAAAATGCATATAATTGTTAGAGAGATTTCTTTGGTAACTGGCTTGACTTTTTGTACACTAGGAAGACTGACATTTTATCAAGGTTTTATTGCTAGGGAAGAGCCTTTTCTACTCCTCCTATTACAGTATCATTTCTCTCTGATTAGAAGGTAATTAATTAATAAGCCCCCTTCTTTTGTTGATTCTAGGATTCAAGAAAGATTCATAAAACACCACCGCATAGCAATGCAGCTATTACAATGATCTATTTGGGGAAAACTGTGCACCTGTCTCATGATCACCCAGACTTTCGGGATGAAATAAAAGTTTATCAACAGCATTGTGGTGGGGAAAACCTTTGTGTCTACAAAGGCAAACTACTTGAAAAAGGTACATATAAAATTTGAATTTTTTTAAGTTGCTTAAAGTTGATGCTATAGATAAACTATCGTTGATATCATATCAAAATGACTTCAATCACTCTATGAAATTATGCGTATCCAGGGACTTATAAACCAGCTGCCTCAAAGTAAATCTAGATTTACTGCTCCATGATTGAAACCGAAGCAGCAATTACTCTTGCAGATTGTGGAAGAAAGAATTTGGAGTGATTTAACCCTGTAACAGATTAATTTTGGGATAGAGATATATGATCATTAAAATGTTGCATGAATAAACTGTCCCCCAAATTACAAGTTAACTATTTGGCCTGCCATAGTGAATTATATCATACGTTATTCTAAGAGAAAAATACCAGATTGGCAATTTGTTCTTTAGAAAAATGTTGAGATAAAATCACAAATCCAATAAAGTTCAGGATGAATCACACCTAAATAACTTGGTGCGGAATTTGGCTAGATGGATTTTAGTACATTTCTGCTTTCATTTGATCATAAATCCATGTTTCTTAGCAGAAGATAATTTTTATATCCAATATAGGGTTTCACATATTGTACTGAAGTGGTTTTCATCAATATTTAGTTGTGTGGAATAGCAATTAAAAAGACAAGTTGTTGTAGGATTATATTTGTTATTTCCTTGCTTAAGAAACTCTGTTTAGAAAGCAATTGCATTTTTACTAAGTAAAAGAAATACTTATATTTGGGCAATCTTGATACAAGTTTAGGGAGTCTTAGGAGTTAGAGGCAAGAATGGAATTATTACTTTTGGCTTTTCTGATTTCCCTCATCACTCAAAAATAGTGACTGTTAATTCTAAAAATTTTAAGTACTCAAAAAGAAACTAGACAGATTTAGGGATTAAATATTTAAAACTTTCCAACATAAGAAAGAGTAAACATTTGAATGTTTTAACTTGATAAAGATTTATAAAACCTATTTATAAAAAATAATGCTAGAAACTATTTTTCCCCATTTTATATACCTGGCTGAAATGTAATTTACTTTGCCATTTTGTCATAGCATTTGAGAGTTCATTCCTGCCATTTTGTAGATGAGGAAAATGAGAGAAGTCCAGAGGTACGATGGCTTCTTAAGGTCGCACGCACAGCTTGGGGCCTGGTCAAGAGCAGATCCTGGACCTCTGATTAGGCGCAGGACCCTTGCTCAGTTAGCTGTTCTTAGTGGCAAAGGGTTTCCTACATTTTCATAATATGAGAGGTAGGAAACCCCTAATGATAGTGGGATAGATACACTTAATTTTTGAAAGTGTAGCTTCCAAGTGTTAATATAGAAGAATTGCTGAAATTAGCTATAGTCTACAATTGGAATGAACGGAATGAAACTTTTCCTGGGTCTTGGATCACGCCCTCTTCAAGACAGTACCTGTCTATTTGCCTGCTGGAAAACATGGTACATACAAAAATAAGAACAAGGCTTAGCTAGCTGAATGTTTTCAGGAAGACCACATATACTCTGTGGTAACAGTGCAAAACCAAAGAGTAAGGGAGAGTGTTACTTGACTAAGTGTTGTTTTGCATACCTATTGATCCTGGGACTGACTTTTGTTATGTCATTGGACAGAATTAAATAACAGAATGGAATGGGGACTTAAATAATTGAATCCTGTCCACATAATAATTTTGGCTCAGCTTGCCCTTTGATTGCCAGGAAAGTAATTGTTGGAAATTGAAAAGTTGGGTGGCTCAGAGTTGACTTGTGGTTCAGCAATCTTAGCAATTTAGCTGGGCTGAAAAGAATCTGCCCGTTTTACAAATCAAAGCTGTGCATGATTCAGTAAAATGTGAATAGGTTTTTAGAAGAGTTCTGTTTAAAAAAAAAAAAAGGCGTTTAACGTTCTGCTTGGAGCAGTAAACTAATTAAAAATGTGGCATTCATTCATTTGTCTTGCTTTTGGATGAGAAATAACAATAAAATTAATTATTTAGGAATGTGGCAAGTGCATCTTTTATTCCCCTAGTAATTCATTGATGTCTTTCAGTTTGATTTCAGACATCAAGCCACATATTGATTGTTTATTATGTACACCTATGAAGTCACCAAGTATTTCTGCTACTTGTGAAGAGTACAGTTCTTCACGGGCATTTTTATTTACCATGTTCATCCTTTCGAACAAGGCAAACCTTGGCCTCCTGGGTTCATGTGGGTACAAAGAGCAAAGTAACTTTTCTTTTTTCTGACCCTCTTACAATCCCTTCCTTTTCTGCCCCCTTTTCCTGTATTTTCATAACCTGATCCTTTGTACCGATTTGTGCATTCCTCGTTACTCCCTCACAAACCAGCTGCTTCACTGGTTCCCCACCCCCATGCTGTTATCTTGTCTTTTGGAACGCTATTCCTTTGTCTGCAATAGGACAAAGGATTTTAAATTCAAGATAGGATTTTAAATTCAAATTTTATCCACCTCGTAAGATTCACACTGAGGCTCTGAGGCTTTCTCAGCCGACTTCTGCTGTGTTTCATCCCTCTCTCCATGGCCGGGGCTCTGAATCTCCCCTGAAACCCGAAGCATTTCATTACACTGTGACTTAGAGTAAATGTTTTTTATTTTTCTTTTACTTGTTATATATATTGAGTTTTTAGTTTTTACAAATACGCTTATTGAGGTGTAACTTATATTCCACAATTCACCCATTGTGAGTGTACAATGCACTGATTTTTAAGCGTTGTATAGCGTTGTGCAGCCATTGGCACAAACCAGTTTTAGAATCTCTGTCACTTCAGAAAGTTCCCTTGTGCTCACTGGCAAAGAAACCTCACTCTCTGTAGCCAGCCTCAGGCAGCCACTGATCTGCTTCCAGTCTCTACAGATATGTCTTCTCTGGACATTTCGTATAAATGGAATCATACAATAGGCAGCATCTGTGTCTTGCTTCTTTAACTTAGCCTGATGTTTCTGAGAGTCATCTATTCACAGCCGTTATCAATGGTTGCCCTCTTCTGATACCACCGAATGTATTCCATCCACTACATGTACATTTATGCTGTTTCTAATTTAGGACCATTATAAATCATGCTGTGATGAATATACAGATGCAAGTTTTTGTGTAGACATCTGGTCATTTCTCTTGAGCAGATGCCTAGGAGTGGATTTGATGGCTTTCCCCACCCTGAATATGGCCCACACTTTTCTGCTTCTTACATACATGTCTTTTGATTTTTTTGTTGTTGAAAACTGGACATTTTCGATCATGTGTTACAGCAACTGTGGATTCTGGATTCTGACTTTTTCCTCTTGAAGGTTATTGTTCTCACTCTTTTTGTTGTTGTCTATTTAGTAACTTCTCGGAAATCCATGAAATCCATGCCCCCTCTCCTTGGTAGACAGCCAGTGTAGTGTCTCTGCTTAGATTTTATCTCTTTTTATTTTTTAGGCTGGCCTCCTTGGGTTGTCTCTGTGTTTTCATAGTTTATTGATCTCTAGTGATTTGTCAGAGGTTGTGTTCAAAAACTTTGACCCAGTACAAAGTCAGAAGACTTTGAATAAAGTACAGCCCCCACCTTGTACCATGGATCTGTGTGTGGGTGTATTCCTTTCCTGGGGCTAATGTAACAAATCCCCAAAACTGGTGGCTTAAAACAACAGAAATTTAATTCTCACATAGCTCTGGAGGCCAGACATCTAAAATCAGGTATTATTAGCAGGCCATCCTCCATCTAATAGCTCTAGAGGAGAATTTTCCCTTGTCTCTTTCAACTTCTGGTGATTCCCAGCAATCCATGGCATTCCCTGGTTTGTAGCCCAGGGCTCCCAGCTCTACGTCCTCTGTCCTCACGTGTCATTCTTCCCTGTGTGTCTCTGTGTGTGTCCTGTCCTCTTCTTATAAGTATGTCAGTCATTGAATTTGTTCGACAAAACACTATCCAGGATGATTTCATCTTGATCCTTCACTACTTGTATCTACAGAGACCCTATTTCCAGATAAGGTCACATTCTGAGGTTCTGGGTGGTCATGGATTTTTAGAGGGCAATATTCAACCCAAAGTAATGGGTTCAGGAGTCCATCCAAAGTTCAGGCAGTTTTCAGGTCTGCTTTAATTTTTATTTTCCACCAGGTTTTCTTTGTTCGTGGGTGCAAGCTTCCGGTGGGCCAGGGATGTATGAATAGGTTGGGCCTACTCCAATCCATGCCACTTCCCATCAGCCGGGGATGTGTGGAGAGCTTATCAAATGTGTCTATAATTGCCTTATGGCCTGTATTTCCCTGTTAAGTTTCTGGCTAGCCCACCAGCCTGGGTGCTTGCCCTAATTTCAACTGCAGTCTTAGTTAGCAGGATCTCTGAACTTCCATATTAGCTTGCCTCCAAGATTGCCACTTATTACTGGTAACGCCACTGGCCAAGGCTTTTTTGTTTTCTGCTCCAGACAAAGTCAGCCCCCACTGACAGGGAAGCTGCTGGTTATTTATGGCCTGCCCTCCCCTGTTGGAACTCTGCTGATGAAATGCTGGTGGGGGAGGGGGAGGGAGTGGGGATTCCCTCTGTTCTTATGAAAAGTTCAGTAGTTTTTGAACTGCTGTTCAGTTTGTTTTAAGTCTTTGGTCCAATTTTAGAGACAAAATTTTAAGGGGAGAGGATTTGGGGACCTCACTCTAGAAATCTGGCATATTGTTTTTGTCTCTCCTGCTCAATTATATAACTTCTTGAGTCAGGAGACCATATTTGATCTTATTTTCAGTATTTTAGTTCCTCTTTAGTGCCTAAAACAGTGCGAGCCACTGCCAGTCAACAATGAATAACCATGTTTTACAAATAGTGTAGAATGCCTTCTAACACTGTACATTATATAATCTGTGAGGCTACTCAGTGAAGTGGGTAAACTGGATAGCTCCCTCCACCCAACTCCTTCACCCCCTCCCATGGCCATCCTCATTTTATATGAGAATTCTGAAGTGCAACAGTCCAGTGACCCACCAAGGGACATTCAACTTATAAGTGAAGAACTAGGACAAGGACCCAAATCTTCTAAACTCTGGTCTATATTATTTCCATTATTCCATGCAGAAACCATTAAGTCAGGGTTGGAAAGTGTCATTAAATTTTAAAATATAAAATTAAAAAAGTAATAACAAGGGAAGAAAAGCAGAGGGTGTCAATTCTTGTTCAGTTAAGTTTGAAAAAAAAGAGAAAGGAATGGAATAATAGGTGGATACGCTCTCTAGCCACATGGCTACACGATGGAAGGGCAGTCACCTCAAGAAGTCCACCTCCTGAGCCCATTCTCAGCATTTCCTTAGCTGCACCTTCTTCCTGGGCTGGGACCTCAGGTAGTTAAGGGATGTGATGCCGCAGCATAATAGATCATATGACGTGAATGTCCAATTCAAGTTTCTGGAAAGAAAGCAGTCAAACTCGCTTTCTAGTCAATACTTAGGAGTCCATATATCATTAAGACAAGTGGATTTTTAAATCTGTTGTATCTTAGTTTCCCCAGATGCTAACTTTTCAAGTTTCTCTTCCCTTGTATGTTTGAATTTTACATCACAAATACTAAGGTATAAATGATGGAATTACCTTTCCAGTAATTTTATTCTTTAGTACAAGTTACAACTGATCTAGGTAGTTTTTAGGGGCAGAGTGTGGTATAAACATAGTATTTCTAGATGACTATGAAATAGGTTAAAATAATAATTTATTAGTTAGTTATTGGGGGCCTCCTATGCCATTGTCCTGGGACCTGGGGAAACAAAGATGAGTCAGACCAGTTCCATCTCTCATGGATTTCACCCAAACATGCAGGACAGCAGACATCTACATCAGGGTTCTCAAAGTCAGGTTCCTGGACCAGAAGCTCAAGCATCACCTGGCAACTTAATAGAAATGCAAATTCTTAGGTCCTAGTGAATCAGAAACTCTGGGGTGAAGCCCAGCAACCTGTGTTATAACAAACCTTTCAGGGTATTCTGATGCACACTAAAGTTTGAGAAGTCCTGGTATTGCCATATTTTTAAACAATTGTAATAACAGCAACAACAAGGAAGGTGTACAGACAGAGAAATGAAATGATCAACTCCATCATTTGTGCAAGTGGAAGAGTCCAGAGAGACTTGTTTTGTAGGAAGTGATATTAGAACTGTCATGAAAAGCAGGTTTCTGAGTCGCTCTGTAACATAGGGTTTTCTTAGACCCAGAACTTGGGATCTCTAGGGTGAGACCTTTCCAAAGAGCATTATAAAAAGACTTGGGATGATTAAAAATTATTAACTCCAAGCAGCGGTTCTTAATTTATTGGTGGACTTTTGGGTGGGCAGGAGAACAAGAAGGGGACCCAAATCCAAGCAGAACTGAGAATGGATTTGAGATGGAATAATTCTACCTCATCCATATATGTATTAGGCTGGTTCAAGTCATAGCTAAAAATACACATTTATTTAAAAGCATTACTGAGCTCACAGTAGCCTCTTGCCATATACTTTATCAGTAGCTAAATAGCAAGATGAAATCTAGAGAGCTATTGGGACTCCCAACACTGACTCCCCTACTTACTGTATGATCTTGGATAAATGACTGAGTTCCCTTGAACTTTAATTTCTGCATATAGAAACTAGTGATAATAATATTCTCTAAACTTCATGTGTTTGTTGAGAAATAACACACCCAAGATTATTGGACATAATGCCTGGCCATAGTAAGAGCTCATATAATGTTATTATTTTATTACAAATCAGAGTTTTATAATGCCTTGGAGTATTTATTGTAAATAAAAATAATAGCATGTGTTTTTATGATTAAAAATTGTCCTCAAGTTGGAAAGGTGATCTAGAGCATAATATTGTACTTACCTAATAGAAAAGTGTGATTTTGAACATATTAGTCCAAAATCAGTTGCTTTCACTGATGTATTTACTTTTTTAATTCCAGAGACCTTTCAGTTTGTTTCCAAAAGGCACCATGGTTTCCCCTTCAGTCTCACCTTTTTTCTGAATGGGATGCAGGTGAACAGGTTAAGCTCCTGCTGTGAATATAAGCATCGGAAAGGTTCCAGACTTGGAGGCAAACGAGGCTACTTTGGGTTTGTGTGCGTGCAGAGATCATCTCCTTGTTACAAGTATGGAAACCAGTGTCCTTTGGTAGAGGGCACGTTTGCTACATTTTCCTCTTTATGCTTCTACTGATGCATTTCTCACCACAGTTTGTTAACAAAGCTATCAGTGTAAATGAGCCCAAAATGTCTAAGTTAATGGTTGCTTATTATAACCCGGTGTGTTGTGTTTTAAATTATTAGATCTAAGTTAGATTTCCAGATGTATTCTATCATGGGGATAAAAGCTGGTGGTGTTCCAAACTCTGTTTCTCTCTCTCTCTCCCTTTCCTCATACTGCTTTAAGTTCTGTTTATGAAGTGAAGGAGAGAGGATGTTTCATTCTCATTCTTCTTAGGAACTGGTTTGGGAGTCCCAAAGCATGTGTCAAGTATCTGTCTTATATGGTTGGGCGTGACAGGTCATGCTTGCATTATGGTGTGGCCCGGTTATCATTCTCATGCCCCTAGTTTTAATCTCAGGCATAACGAAATGCATGATAAAGGGTCAATTTTGACTGTTGCTTATCAGCTTTCATATTGGATATTCTGTTTGAAATTAGGACACTTGCTTGTAGGCTTTCTTTAATTTTTTTCTGCAAGTACTCATGGAATATTGATATATGCCAAGCTAGAAAACAGGAGTGAACCACCCAAAGTTCCTGCCCTTGTGGAGCCCATTCTAATGGGGGAAAGGCAAATAGCAAGTAAACCAATTAATATGTGTCAGATGGAAGTGTTGGGATCAACTGGAAGTTCTCTGCTGATTGTTTCTGTATTTTCAGTCATCCAAGAATTTATCAGCTGAGATTAAGACTTAAGGAAGAAGGCATTGGAGGTTTTAGGGGAGAGAAAAGGTGTGAAAGAGTCATCCAGCAAGTGGGACAGTCAATGGTCTAGAGCAATATAGTAGGAGTGCCCAGATGTACTTAGGACCCACCTGAGGCTGTTTTCCTGTTCCAACTCAAATATACTTTCTCCATATTTGTGGGCAAGTCATTTAACAAATTTCTGTTTGCTTCCCAGGAAAGCTAATGAGCTTATATACAGTCATCCATGCACAAACACATTGCATTCTTTGAGAGTTGCTGTATAAATCCAAGCTGTAAATGTTTGGTTGTAAACACTTTCTTTGGAGGTTTAATAATCAGTACTAAAATCTGACGGATGACATCTACTTTCCTATTTAACACTTATTACTCCATGCACAATTTTTATATGATTTCATTTGATTCCCTCTAGCTTCTTTCTTTGACCTTTTCAAATAATAAAAATAAAATGGCTGTGATATTAAAGAATAAGGCCTGTTAGGTCTGCTAACTTTTTAAAAATTTGTTTATATAATATAAATATAAAATAAATATTTATAAAATTTAACATAATTCACTTATTATATAACCTTTTTGGGGGGATCACATCCATGATACTTTTAATTATTTTAAGGGGGTGTACATGAATGCCTCTAATTTGTTAAAAAAGAAATTAATTTTCATTCATTTTAAAAGTACTGGCTCTGGAACTTTTGTTATGAGGAGGGAATTATTTAAAACAACAATAGGGAGTTCTAGTTCTAAAAATGATTAGGAATTACCTGTTTAAGGTCTTCAGAAAACAAGAACGGCTCAGCGGTGGTCAAGTCTAAGTGTGGAGTTTGCACACTTGTACCCATCCCTCAGTCATGGCAACTGAAGAGACAAGGTAGTTATTTTCAGTTGCTAGAGTGAAGCACAGAAGGAAGAATTGCCTAGCCAAGTAGAATGCAGACTGCGTTGAGCTTTAGTAATCAGAATCAACACCTCAAATTGACTCAGAAGTCAAATAGGTAGTCAGTGACGAGGAGAGCACAGATGTAGCTCACTTTGTTCATCCAATTCCCCTAAGCAGATGGGCAATAAAAAGTCTGTGAATGCAGTAGGGAGGCATCAAAGCCTCTACGTAGTCACAACATAAACCAAAAGTAACAGCAGATCAGAAGCTCCAAATCGATGGATTTGGTGTTGCCATTGATAAGGGAAGAAGAGCTTGAACAGAAGGCAATGCTAGTAATCATATTCTGTGAAGATTCATGACACCTTTATTCCAAGGAAAGCAGTGTGCTAAGTACATCATCATTACAGGCAAGAAACATTTATCGTGCTTAATATGGGGGAGGTAAGTGTATTCTTATTATCTCATTTTTTACAGCCTGATAGTTACTTTGAGTGCAAATCCTTTTAGCTTTATTTTATGGGGGGATATTGAAAAGATAAGTGATATAACTAAGTTCTCATAAGCTGGGAGGATTGATGCCTATGCTATTTCTAGACTGGGGATGGCTGAAATTCAGTGAAATCTTTAGCTCAAGAAATTGCCATTAAATCTAATTCACACTGAGGCAGTTTTCAAATTTTACATATTATTTCTGTTCTTCCTGGATGGATACATCTTGACTACATTTGGATCTGTTTTCACCTGTGTGCTCTATTGATTCAGTTTCCCACTAAGTTGTGTAGGGAAGGGGACGCAGGTAGTTCTAGAGGAGGAGGCTGGTGGAGGCTGACAGTTGCCAGGCACTTTTCTCAGGTCACGGATCATCTCTAGGCCTTGGTGCGAACTTCTCCAGGTTTTGTTAGTTTCTGGTGAAGAGTGTGAGCACTTTCCCTGGTGGGAAGCCCTGCAGTGTAACATCTGTCCATGGGGCTGTCCTTCTGGGAGGGCTACACCCGTAATCTAACAATATCTTTGTACCTCGTTGTGAGGGGATGGAGTCTAGCAACCCTGAGCCAGGATCCAGCTCCATCACTAACCTGCTGGGTGAGCTTGGGCAAGGCATTGAGGCCTGCCAGCCTCAGTTTCCTCCTTTGTCAAGTTGTGATGATAGTTCTTAATGCGTCACTCAATCATCTTACTATTAGCATAATCATATTTTTATTAATGTATTATTGTACATTATTGTATAATATTATCATACATATTATTGTATGTATATGTATTATTATCATAATTGGAATTCTTATTTCAATATTAACTTGAGAGATAGGAAAAAAGCTATAGAAGGATTTATTCATGTTACTTTTGTTATGACTGATTTTTTAAAATATTTTTTAATGTCCTAATATATTCAGATCATCTGCTTGTTTCACCAGATTTGACTTTGAATGACTTCATGACCTCTACAAATTATTGCCATCTCCAAAGAACGAAAGCTTATTGCCAGGAAAAGTCACTAAAAGATTGTTGTACGGGCTTCAAAAGGCCATTCTAAAAACAATGATGACGGTTCTATTAAAATAAGCATGCAGGCTTCCGAGGTGTTTATTTAAAGGGCACAAGAACATTTGACTATATATGTTTCTTAAAAAATCAATCATATTTATTTAGAGTCAACCTTGTATAGAAGTCTTTTGTTGTTGTGTTGTTGGAATAACAAATTATCTGAGACTGAATGGCATCTTTCTTCTCCTGATTATTTTTATCTCAGCTTCCCTGTTTATATACCTGAATGTTCTTTTATCACATAATTCTCATTTAAGAATTTGAATATGTTTATTGGACTCTGTAATAAGGCTAAAAACATGCTTTAAAGGCACAAGTTTTAGCTTGTGACAACTGTTCTTAGTTGTTAAGTTGTTTTCTTGTTCAAATTACCGTGGGTAAAATCATTAATAATTGATTGTGTTCATTTACAAGAATTAGTTATGAATCAGAAAATAAGTTTATTCTAATTAACTATGTGTACTATAATAAAATATTTCTTACAGTATTTCTTACTGGAATAAGAAATAAGTGATTTAAAAAGCTTTGAGGTTCCACAATGTTATATATAAAGGTTAATAAACACCTTATGTTTACATTTTTCATAGGTGCATTATTGCAATGGGCCTTGACAAAAATCCAACTTCACCAAAGCCTAAGAAAGAAAAGACTATGGAGAAAAGAGAAGAACTGAAGAAGGGTGAGGGGAAACTGAGGAAGGATGGAGGGTACATGATACCGAGAAGGAGTGAGATGGAGGGGAATAAAACCACTTCAGTCATTTTTTCAGCTCAAGAAGAAAAAACAGGGATCGTAGAAGTGAGAACAGCTGTGGAAGAAATGGAACTTAAAGGAAAACCAGGACAAGATGTTTGGGAAGATGCCCAGGAAAATATATTTAAATACGGTAATGGATACCACAGAGTTCTTTTGTTGTTGCCATTGTTGTTTTGCTTCAGTCTTTAAAATGCCCTTATTGAAATGTGCAACAATACCTACTATATGTTACTCAGTTACAGTCTTCTGCCAGTTCTGTTGCATGGAGGGATCCCTGAATACCTTCTCCCTCTGTTTTGCATGGAGGCCTGTGTCACCTTCCTCACAGAGGGCAGGCCTGATTCTGGAGAGGTGAAGGTGCTTGCAGGGGCAGGAGGGGAAGGAGAATTTCTGTCTGCGTGAGCCAGAAGCTCTGTTCACTTCTACAGAGAGAGATCAGGTTGACCAAATAGAGTTTTACCTTTTTTTTTTTTTTTTTTTTTTTTTTTTTTAGTATTTGAATGTACTTGCTTTGGTGAAATTGATGCTTGGGATCAGGTAGGCACAATATGCTTATATAGTAATAAGAGTATTCCATAAGTAAAAACAGTTGACATAGGCTCGGGGTCCTGGAGCCAATCTATCTGCCTTCCTTGTTATTCTCTCCTCTCCTGTTCTCCTCTTCTTCCTCCCCTCCCTCACTCTCTCGCATCCTCCCTTCCTTCTTACCTTCCTTTCTCTCTCTCTCACACACACACACACACACACACACTCACTCACTCATATATAGAGTAGTGATAATAACCAATAATGGAAGTGCCAGGCACTGCGCACTGGGCCAGAGCTTTCCACACAGTACTTTTTTTTTTTTTTTTTTAGAGAGAGAGACTGTGGTAAGGAAGGGCAGAAGGTGAGGGAGAGGCTCCACACCCAGCATGGAACCCCACACTGGGCTCAATCCCACAACCCTCAGATCATGACCTGAACCAAAATCAAGAGTTTGACGCTTAACCAACTGAGCCATCCAGGCCCTCAACACGCACTATTTCATTTTATCCTTACCATTCATTGTGATAGATATTATTACTCCCTCCATTTTACAGGATAGGAAACTGAGGCTCAGACACACAGACAGAAGCAGAACTAGGATTTACACTGGAGGAGAGGAAAACTTTTTCCTCAACCCATTTAGGTTCTTTGACTGGGTCCTTGTAAATGAGACTGACAAAAGAGATTAAAACAGGAAAAACAAACAGAAATTTATTAGCATGTGCATTGCACATACACCCAGGAGTATTCAGTGCTGAGTAACTCAAGGGGGTGGTTAGAACTTGGGCTTATGTAGCATCTTAGCAAAAGTATAAGACACTTTTGGGGCACCTGGGTGGCTCAGTTGTTAAGCGTCTGCCTTCGGCTCAGGTCATGATCCCAGGGTCCTGGGATCAAGCCCCGCATCGGGCTCCCTGCTCTGCGGGAAGCCTGCTTTTCTCTCTCCCACTCCCCCTGCTTGTGTTCCCTCTCTCGCTGTGTCTCTCTCTGTCAAATAAATAAATAAAATCTTAAAAAAAAAAAAAAAGGATAAGACACTTTTAAAGAAGTGACAAGACAAAGGAAAAAGCACTGAGCTTCTGGGGCAGCAAATTATGGGAAGGCAAATATATGGCGAAACAAATGCTAGATAAAGGCTGGTTTCAGTGAGGTTGTGATGCTGATTCCTCGGTGTTTTTTTCTGGACTGATAAGGGTGTGGAGTTATCTCCTTTGATTAACTTCTGTCCTTCCTGGATAGAGAGGGGAGGGGAGACACCTTCACAAGTTTATGTCCTGCTTTTAGGCAAATAGGGGGAGGGTAGAGCACTCTTCTTGTATCTACTATTTCTCAGTTGCCTTCAGCTCAAAATAAACCGGATGCCAAAGTGGCATATTCTGGGCCGGCATACTCTGCCACACTCCAATACCCGGGCTTGTCTAATTCCAAAACCCAGGCTTTCCCAACTGTACAACCTCCTTTTCTGTACAAGCTATCCTCGATGTTACCTGGTTGTGGGTGGTATGTCCAAAGTCAGAAAGGGAGAGCTGCCTGCCTGTCCCACTTACAGCAAGGAGATAGCGCTGGGATTAAAGGACCATTAGCTGTGGGCTGGGATGACCTGTGGAAGAACCGGCATCAGGAAAGGGGCAGAGCCCTCATTCCTCCTTCTCCTCTCATCTTGCTGCTGCCCAAGGGTTTCAGAAATCCCAGAGAAGAATTACAGAGCTATTATAGCACTGGACTTTGTTTATTACTGGAAGAATGCGATCATCTTAAAAAAGATTTCACTTCTAACACTTTGACCCAGTTTCTCTCTCTCTGTGATCTCTTCTAGTCTTTATTATCTTAGATTGAAAATTTAAAACTATCTACGGTGATAGCAGTAGCACAGAGATGAACAAATTGGACGTGTTTTTATGTGTTTTAACTTTCAAGACATGTAGGTTTATTAAAGCCATGCTCAGGAGAGGCTTTTATATTCTTCATTTTTTTTTCTTAAACCAACCTGGCCAGGGTTATGAGTAGTGTACTTTATGCCTATGCTGTAGCTTTTCCCAAGATCTTTCCTCTGTGTTGGCTAGTTAATGGATTTGTCCTTTAAAAAAAAAAGAAGAAGAAGAAACAGAGGCAGCGAGGCTTCAGCTCTCTGCAGAGCATCCGCTGATGGTAAAGGGCAGCAAGAAACTTGAGTGGAGGTCAGTGAGAGAGGGTTGCAGCTGGACTGACGTCGACCTCGTGTCAACTCACTTCCTCATTAGTGGGGATGGTAAACAACAAGCTAATTAAATTCTCTGGAAGAAGGAAGATGAGATGGGAGAAACAGAAGCAATTATGAAAAGGAATCCAGAAAGCATGCCGCCAGTTCACTCGGATTGAGAACACGAGTAGCTCACACAAAGGAGGTGGCTCTGAGCTCTCATGCTAATTGAGTGCTCATGGTTAAAGGAGAGATGACATTTAGGTGTAATGACAGTAGTGGGTAGAGCAAAGCCAGGGCAGCCTTGAATCTCGTACTTTGAGACAAAACACAGAAGCTTCTGCAAAACAGAATGTAGGGACTGCTCTTATGGTTCAGTACATGTTCCTTCAATTTTATGCTCTGCTTCAATAATATAACTGTAATTGTGTCCTGATTGTGGACAATTGTACTTCTCCAGTTTTAATCAGGTGCCTCCATTAGAGTATATTTCTCTTGGTCTATGACCAACCCCTTCCACCCCCATATTACTACTAATCCCTAATAATTATTAGACATGTATTGCTCATGACATTGTACTAAGCATGTTCCAGGGATGATTATTATATCTTTTAAAAGATTTTATTTATTTATTTATTTGAGAGAGACAGCAAGTGAGAGAGAGCACAAGCAGGGGACAGAGGGAGAACCAGATTCTCCACTGAGCAGAGAGTCCGACGTGGGCTCCATCCCAGGACCCCGAGATCATGACCTGAGCAGACACTGGAGAAGCTTCTCCAATGGAGCCCCCCAGGCACCCCTGCCCCAGGGCTGATTGCTTTAATAGTCACCACTGCTTTGGGAGGCAGGCACTACCATGTCACGGATGAAGAAACTAAACCTTGAAGATGTTGAGCAAATTGTGTAAAGTGACATAGTTAGCAAGTGTTTTCACCTGGACTTGGGCACACGGCAGCCTGCCTCTAAAACCCTCAATGTCACCACTATGTGACACTATTGATGGATTATAGCAGTTCACTCATGTTCTACTTGGCCCCCTGCTTATCCTGTGACCAGCAGCAAATATCTGTAAAGTGATAGATGCATGTGTTTCTCATGCCCGTGTGTTCTGTGGCTAACCTAAACTCCCCCTTTTACGAAGTCTTCCACGATTTCCAAATGACTTTCTGCACCCCCTTTTTTAATTCCATTCCATTCATTTGGCACTATTTCATGTAATTAATCATGAGTCCTATATGAAAGTCCATAGCAATCAAGCCCAGCAGTGATGAAACTAACATTACTGAGGACCATGCATAAAAACCACTGTGAGTACTGTATCTGTTGTGTATTTGCATCTTATTTCCTCCACAAAAATTGGAAAATCCTTCTCAAAAAAGGCTTATTGATTGACAGCTGACTGGGCCAAGTGAGGAACTATCCTATTATTTGGCCTGAAATATTTGGATAAAAATATTTGTTTTTATTAGTATTTCCTGTTTCTTTCATACACTATAAACCAAATTTTTCATCTTTTTGCTTATTTATAATTTGGTTTACAGATAATAATTCGCATTTCATGTTCTCCATATTAAATTTTTTTTGTGAAAACATTCTTGTGAATTCTCTTTGTTTGCCTGTCTTCATTACATTAAGTTTCTGATTTCACTTTTCCTCTTACATCTCGCTCATACAGTCTCTGTATTAACAGAGCTTTCTTCATATGCACAGGGCCTGCATTTCTAAATTAAGTTTCTTTCACCGGGGCAGGGTGCATAGCTCTAAGTAATTACCTGACAGGCCCCCACCACTGGCAAGGAAGCTGGAATATCTAATAACTAAAACACACAAAATGGGGAAAGCTTTATTTTCCCTATAATTTTTATTTTAAAGATAATTGTTTATTTGGTTAATTGGTTCTGCATGAAATCCTTTTGCTCTCTATCCTTGGCATGTTGTCATTTCAAGATTTTTAGGTTTTGGTGGAGGAAAAAGGGGAACAATTAAATATGAAAGGTGAAAAATTATAACCACAAGGGACAGCTGGAGTTTATCTGATGTGACAATTTCCTTTTTCTGCTGTGGATTTGTTGCACCTCTGTAGGGAATGAAGCAAATTAGTGGCTGTGACAGGAATGTTCTATTTTATAAGAATTTTTTTATCCTTGGAATGTAATTATTTCATTGACTGTAGGGATGAATAATGCATATGATTTGGGTTCTGGTCTAGGTATAGAATGCCTCATAATGCCTTTTCTTGATGTCCATTTGGTTCTCAAAGAATGTGCTATTCACAGTATTACTTCTCAGGGCCTTTGGACTTGATTAATTGAATTTTCCACTTCACTATTCATTAACTTGATATCCAAATATTTTGAACATTCTTCATATGAAATATGACCTCACTGGGTCTCCAAATTAACTTTCATTATTACAATCCTGTTCTCTTCATTTTTAATTTATTTCTAATTTATTGTTTTTCTATCAAGTTCTTCTCTTGTCCATTTTGGTTATTGTAGATGATGATGTCCATTTGTAAATGAACTTTCATTAGGTTTCAGGCTCGTCATTTGGAGCTTTATTTCTTTTGTGCTCTTGTGTATGTAACTGATTGCAATCTTTGATCATTTGCTGTTGGTTTTCCATGTTCAGTAATTGTGTGAAAAAGAAGCAAAGAAAGGCCCAGAGAAGAGAGTGTAGTGGAGTCAAAGTTCTCATTAAAGTAAAACGGGTTAAGTATCAGAGATTCTATTTTCCTTCTTATAGTGGTGATTTTTTTTTTCCCTCAGAATATGAAGAAGATTTTGAAGTAGATGAGGAGAAACAAGATGAGAAAGCTAATGAAGAAGGACAGGCTGATGATCAAATGAATGAGATGTCAAAGTCACCTTCAGATGATGGAAAAGATCATTTAGACCCTGAAAAGGAGAGTGAAACCTCATCGCAGAAGGCAGCAGATGCTGATGACAATATGAAGGATGAAGGGGATGGATGCTGTGACAGTGAGCTGGAGGAGGATAAACAAGGCAAGTTGTTTCCCAGGTCACGTGACATGGGGTGTTCAGCAAGTGTGCTCACTCCTTTTCTTTTCTTTATATTTAATGGGATGATCCTCTTTTAAGGGAACGTTTAGAGCCTGGTTCCCTAACCAGAGAATGATGATCAATCAGGCTTCCATAGATACCTAATTTATGGGGTCATTCCTTAATTCCTTCTTTCCTTAGTTTTCTGGGATTTTTCAACAGGGGTCAGGTAAAACTTTTAGTGACATGTCCTCTGTTTACTTAGAAAGTTACTCCTTTTTTTTTTTAAATCCCAAAGTATCCCCTCTTACACACACACATGCATGTGCATTTGTGTGTGTGTACACCATTTTGTAGCCTTAGAAAAATGAAAAGAAGCTCCCATTCAGTTAAAGGGAAAGTTGAAGATTCCTACCCTAGGTTCACTTTTTTGTCTTCACTTACCTTGCACACAGGATACTGGCATCTTAGTTTCATGGAAGGATTATCTCTTTTGGCAAAGGAGGCCACAGTCTTTAAGCCTAAAGTGACTCTGAATTTTCATGGGGAAAATACAGAAAGGTTTTTAGGTAGAGAAAGAAACCCTTATCATCTGAGACATACCTCAAACATTTAAAGACTTTTATAAAGACCTTAGTTCCCCAAAATAATGTTCAGTCAAAGAAGGAACCAATTTCTTGCTTTGTCCTGTAAAAGGGTTTCGTCAAGGTTATGTAATTCTTTTTTTTTTTTTAAAGATTTTATTTATTTATTTGACAGAGAGAGACACAGCGAGAGAGGGAACACAAGCAGGGGGAATGGGAGAGGGAGAAGCAGGCTTTCCGCAGAGCAGAGAGCCCGATGTGGGGCTCCATCCCAGGACGCTGGGATCATGACCTGAGCCGAAGGCAGACGCTTAACGACTGAGCCACCCAGGCACCCCAAGGTTATGTAATTCTTAATCAGAGATCTTTCCTGGTACATTGAGGGCATTTACCAGTTACAACAGTAACCCTGTCATATTTAAGTATATGTATGTCTTTGTAGTTTGCTTTGGGCTAGAGAATGAGGTTACATTATGATGACTTTCTTTTTTTAAGATTTAATTATTTATTTGACAGAGAGAGAGAGAGAGAGATCATGCGTGCACAAGCAGGGGGAGCAGCAGGCAGAGGGAGAGGGAGCAGCAGACTCCCCTCAGAGCAGAGAGCCCAGTGCGGGGCTGGATCCCAGAACCCTAGGATCATGACCCAAGCCAAAAGTAGACGCCCAACTGACTGAGCCACCCAGCCACCCCTATGATGACTTTTTTAATTGCTGTCCATTTCCCCCATTCTTTCCACCTCTCAACATTTTTTACTGTATAAAATTCAAAATTTTGAATTGAAGGAGTATATTGGGATAATATAAAATAAGAGTAAATTCAGTAACCAAGAGCAAATATTTTAGTTCCACTCCCTTCAAGAAATAATTTAAGCAAACCTATTCTAAAATTTCATGAACACACATAAAGGCAATAAAATACAGAAATTATTTAGAGTAAAAGAGAAGATAATTTTACTAGGAACCATAGATGGGACCATCACTAAGCTTGAACTAGAAATTTAATCCTGAGTTTCCTGACAGTCAAAGCAAAGAGTGAAGCACAAAGTGAAAATTTAGAATGATGTTCGCTATCAGTAAACTTGAAAACAGGATATGCTGTCACTTTTATTACAGTTGAAAGATCCACTCAAGATTAATGGCCAGGCATTGAAATATTTTTTATAAAGTCTAAACTGGGCCCTTTCTATAATTTCTCTTAATACTTACACTTTATGTTTCCAGGCATGCCTAATATATAAGTCTTTTCTCAATTTAATGTGAATATTGGATTTACGTTTATATTCCTATATGACATAGAGAAAGTTAAAGAATTCTATGGAAAAGTGATGTCACATGAATCAAATTTTGAAGAAATTATATGAGTGACTTGAACCCGGAAAAGAACTGAAAATGTGTTTGCATGTAAATATAATGGTTCAAAACACAAGGGACTCAATTTTTCATTTCTTCAGTAATGGTGGGGAATTAACAAGTATTGATTTCATGAAGATTCAGTACATTCTTTGAATATTTGGTCATCTGGGATTATTTTTGTGCTACATAATCATCTTATTTTCTTAGGATCAGATGGATTTTTTCTAAGACAGAATAAATTTTTATGTTCAAACGGAGAGGGATATAGGCTAGTACTTGGATCTTCCTTGGAGGTAACACTTTGATCATTTAGACCTGTAATTATTGAATAACTGACAGAATAGGTAAACTTTAACATTGAATACTGCTTTCATATAAATAATTGGAATCCTCTGTTTGGAAAGGCATCCAAAAGGTATTGTTTATTAAGACTCTGTGCTATGCTAAATATTTTATATGAATTATCTGATTTACCTCAAACAATCTTAAAAAGCAGGTACTGTTTCTTTTTATCTCCATTTTACAAATAAATGAACTTGGATATGGTGGGATTAAGTAACTCACACAACCAGAAAGCAGTGGAACCAAGACAGACATTACCCAACTTCAGAGCCTGGATTTTGGAGAAACAATATAATATTGTTCCAAATGAGAAAATATCTATTTATTTAAAAGTAAAGCAAATCCCCCCAATAAAAGGATTCTGCTTCCTCAAGACTATGCATTTTAGAGGCACTTATGGTGAGCTCTTCATCTTCTTCTCTAGCCTCTGTTTTTTTGTTTTGTTTTTGAACAGAGGAGATAAAAGTGGACATTTTCTACTTTTACTCAAATTGACCTTTCTCCTCCCTGGATGGACTTCCCTATCCACTCCCAGGCATTGAGCTCAGTTCTAGCTGAGGCCCCTGCTCTCCCAAGACACACTCCTAGCTTGCCAGCCTTCACTAAGCTCTTTATTTCATAAAACTCTATCGTTCAGTAATTCATTATTCTCTTATTCATTATCTCTTCTTGTTTCATATGTTAAATTTCACCCCTCAAATTAATTACATAACGAGTTAATAACACAAAGTTGTTACAACTATGGAAGCTAGGACAGTATGTTGTCTTTGTTATTTTTCACAGAGGTGATTTCCTAAAAGATATTTTGTAAATATTATGCAATTACTTGATTGTTTTAATACTAAGAATACTAAGGTGCTTTTATTCACCATGAATAAAAGCACCTTGGAATTTTATTGATAAAGATTGTATAGAGTTAGCTGCATTATTATATGTAATATTTTTGAAGAGATATGTAGTGAATGCTACCAGAACATATAAAATCTAGCCCGCAAGTGGGAATTTTAAGAGCCAGAGATTAAATTTGCCAACTATTTTATTTTATTGTTTCAATAATGATATTATTAAGCTATCCTTTTTAAGAGCTCTTTTGCATTTTTGGTATTTACATTAAAACTTTGTCATTATTTTGAAATAAAATCTCATTGCTTATTACTGTTTCTTTCCTCTACCTCCCAGCTCTTTTATTTCCCATCCCTTGATTTTGATAACCTGGCCTTGTGTTATTCAGAAACATTCCTTTTAGCATGCGGGATATCTGAATTAGAGATTTCATCCAGCAAACAAAGTAGCATGTATTAAAAATGATAATGACACAGCGGGTTCCTTGGAACACTCTATTAAAAAGCCAGACAGCATTTCATCTTCAAAAGTGTAAGAGGCATATTGTGACCACTGAGTCTGAGACACCAGTTCATCCTTTTTATTGACATGATTAAGAATCTTGCTGTTAGTATTTGGATGTGTTTCATTTGAACCTGCCTGCACCTCTTCCCAGAGGGCAAACAATTGCCCAGGCTGTCACTCTGGTGACAAGTCGGCCCCATTTAAACTGCCAGCTAACAATGGCGTGGGCCCGCCTTGATGAATGCTCTGTGCTGAGCAGCCCATGAGTGATGAATGCTAGGGACCGAGAGCCACGATGAGAGCACCCTGGTTTAGGGATGACGTGTGAGACTTTCCATCATTTAAAAAGAATGACAGCTTCCTTTTCTCTACATTTGTGTTGGCAACCCCAGGCGCTAAGTCACTAGTTGAAAATACATTGTCATAGATGAATGTTATAAGGTTGAGGGGAAAAGTGTCGTATCGCTGGGAATATACTTTTATACTTTCATGGACAGTTTGGATGATAATGCTTATGAGTAAGAGGTAAAGAATCAATAGCTTCTTATGAGAAAGATTTCAGAGAAAGAATCTCTTCCCAGAATTGCAAAGAATAGAAGAATTAAAGCAAATGCTTTTTCAAGTAAGAAAGATAATATTTCACTTGTGCTCTTTTCCAGTCTGTTGAAGAAACAGGCCTCATAGACTTTTAAAATCCCAGAGTCACAAAAAGTATTCTATTTACTTGACTTAGTGACTTCAAGAATCTTACTCTTCATTTCCTGGCTTGACTATCACAGAGAAGCATATGAGGGGAGGCTGCTTCTTCCGTGTTGAAATTATAGATGCTGTGAAACCACATTCTGTGGACTTCAGTGTAACTAGACTGCTCCTTGAACAGAGAGGACTAGGGGAGGACTGTAGATGGCCTTCTGGTCAGCGTCTATATGTGTGATTTTTTTTTTTTTTTGCATGATTAAACTTTAATTTTTCTGAATGGTAAGAATTCCTCAATCCATATTCACATTTTGATTATTGAAGTAGGAAGTTGTGGCTTTCAGGTGAATATTTAAATGCAGCATCATCTTTTAGTCCACATAAAACACTTTCCTATGAGGTATGTCTCTACAGGTTTGAATCTCCCTTTTACACAACAAAGGTATTACTGAGACACCCAATGAAAGCTTAATCTTAGTGGATAAATGTAAAAGGACTTAGGCAGCACAGTGTGACACAGGATTTGATTATATTCCCAGTATTTTAAGTACTCGTTTTAATGTTTAAAGTGCAATTAAAGGTAGATATGGAGGAACTTTTAAGCTTTTTCAATTTTTTTCGTCTCCTCCTGCTAGAGCTGCATTTACCTGTAGATATTTATTCTTACAGAGTAATGTCTG